CCGAGTTTGAGCAATTCTCCTGTCTCAGCCTCCCGAGAAGCTGGTATTACAGGTGCGCACCACCACACCCACCTAATTTTTGTGTTTTTAGTAGAGACCGTTTTTGCCGTGTTGTCCAGGCTGGTCTCGAACTCTTGACCTCAGGTGATCTGCCCACTTTAGCCTCCCAAAGTGCTGGAGTAACAGGTGTGAGCCACCATGCCTGGCCCCTGCTCCTTTCTTCATCCTATCTTCCTGCTCATCCCCTTCACTCCAGCGGCCTCCTTGCTGCCCCTGGGAACACACTGGGTCCACTCCTGCCTGTGGCTCTGCTCTGCTTCCTTCTCCTGGGACACTCTTCCCCAGATGCTGGCATGTTTTTGTCCCTCACCTCCTTCAGGTCTTTGCTCAAATGACAGCTTCTCAAGGAGGCATTCCCTGACCATCCTACTTAAAATCACACCCATGCAGTATACACGCCTTGTCCCCTTTCCCGGCTTCATTCTGCTCCATCGAATTTATTGTCATCCAGCGTCCGACGTATCTTACTAATTCATCTTTTTATTGTCTGGCTCCTTCTACCAGAACACCAGCTCTAAGAGGGCAGGAGTTTTTGTCTGTTTTGACTCCGCTTTCTCTGTAGGAGCTAGAATAGTGCCTGGCACATAACTGGCACTCAAAAACGTGTGTTGGCTCCATGAATTCCCTGGGATTTTCATGGCCTTGCTGTGTGACCCTGGGTAGTGAACCTCACCTCTCTGGGTCTCAGTCTGTTGAACTCACTGGCTTTCCGCTTTAGCCAGTCGAAGGCTCTGTCCCTGCATCCTGGCTTTCCAGGGTTTTTGTTTGTTTTGTTTTGTTTTGTTTCTCCCCAGAATATCTGCTAAAAGGAGAATTGGACAAGGCCTGGCTTGATATTATTCTCCTACGCTAGATTTTGAGCCAGGCACATGCCGGCACTCTTGTATCTGAGTAAGGGGCTCTGACTAGATGCATTTGTGTGAATAACCTTCTATATGTGTTTGGGAACCTGGGCGAGATGGGACATTCCAGCAAAATGTCAGCATAGGCCCAAATTCTGTCTTTCCGTTTCTTTTTGTTTGCAGTGGAGCAAAGAGTAGAAATCTCCAAGGGCACCGCAGACGCTTCTCTAATGAATCAATGGGAATGCCCACTGCCCTGGAGATGAGGGGAAGAGGCTGCTGGCTGTGAATCCCACACCTGTAGCAGGCTGTTTCCACTTCCTCAGGAGCCAGCTGTGAGGAAGCCACAGCAGAACTGCCCACCTTCCAACAAGGGACGCCTGCAAGAGAAACGCAGGCTTCAGTGGGGATGCCAAGCCCGTTTTTAGATCTCATCTGTTCTTAATGAGAAATGGGTCCAACCTTGCCCAGGTTTCTAGAGCAACCCCTGACAGGGCTTTGTTCACATGCTAGCTTGCTTAATTGCCAGATGATCTCTTGTTTTCTCTTCTTTTTATGGTATACTCCCTGGGACTGGCAGAGTACCTGGCATCTGGTAGGAATCACTAGATTTTTGTAGGAAGAGTTAGTTTTCATAAGTCATGAGAGGCAGGCAATATTTTCATCATTTTTTTTTTAAAGAGGTGGGGCCTCACTCTGTTGCCCAGGCTGGAGTGCTGATGTGTGATCATAGCTCACTGCAGTCTTAAACTCCTGGGCTCAAGGGATACTCCCACCTCAACCTCCCAAGTAGCTGGGACTACAGGTGTGTGCCACAGTGCCCGGCTATGTCATCATTTTGTAGATGATGAAGCTCAGGCTCAGTGGTGACATGACTTGCCCAAGGTCACATAGCCAGGAGATAAATCCATGCAGGCAGCTGGTTTGGGGTTACCAGGAAAGAAAAGACCCTCCTGTGGTGACTATACTTTGGGAAAACAAACTTTACTTTTGAATATGGGGGGATCTAAAAGAGCTTGGGCCTTTGGGAGCCTGAGCAACTTGGATTCAAATCCCAGTACTGCACTTGTGGACTTGGACAAGTTCTAAAGACAACAGGGGCCGGACCCGGTGGCTCATGCATGTAATCCCAGCACTTTAGGAGGTCAAGGTGGGTGGATCACCTGAGGTCAGGAGTTTGAGAGCAGCCTGGCCAACATGGTAAAACCCCATCTCTATTAAAAATACAAAAAATTAGCTGGGCGTGGTGGTGCACGCCTATAGTTCCAGCTACTTGGGAGGCTGAGGCAGGAGAATTGCTTGAACCTGGGAGGTGGAGGTTGCAGTGAGTGGAGATTGCGCCATTGCACTCCAGCCTGGGCGACAAGAGCGAAGCTGTCTCAAAAAAAAAAAAAAAAAAAAAAAGACAACAGGGCCTCAGTTTTCCTATCTGTAAAATGGACACACCAATGTGTGTGTGTTCCTCTTACACAGAGCCTGTGGGAGTTTACAATGAGAGCATGCAGTTCAATGCCTGCCACCGGGTGGTGCTCAATACACTCCAAACCCGCCCTGGCCTTTCAGGTGATCTCTGGAATTCCCCCAGCTCAGCTGCTGCACCAGCTCCTGCCCCTGCAACTTCAGGGCGGGGCTGGCGAGGCTGCCGAATAATCGTCTTGCGCATGCGCAGCTACCTCACGTCACGTGGCCTCGTGCCAACCAAGTTCTCAGGTGCGAGGCCTCAAGAACTTTCTGTCGTCAGTGGGGGATTCTTGGGACGGCTTTGTTCCCACCTCGGCTGGAGCTTCGGGTCCTGGAACACCTGAGTGTGCATTTGAGAGGGTAAGAGAGAGGCAAAGACCTTCTAGAATTTCAAATGAGGGTTCTTTTGACCTTTCTTTGTTTTCTGGTTTGAGACAGCGTCTAGCTCTGTTGCTGAGGTTGGAGTGCAGTGTGGCATGATCACAGCTCACTGCAACCTCCACCTTGCCCCAGGTTAGGCAATCCTCCTGCTTCAGCCTCCTGAGTAGCTGGGACCACAGGCTTGCACAGTCACCCAGGCTTTTTTACAAGGTTTTTTATTTTGAGACCGAGTTGGGTTCTGTCTTCCAGGCTGGAGTACAGTGACACGATCCCAGCCCACTGCAACCTTCGTCTCCTGGGTTCCAGCGATTCTCCTGCCTCAGCCTTCCAAGTAGCTGGGATTACAGACAGCTGCCACCATGCCTAGCTAATTTTTTCTATTTTAGTAGAGTCAGGGTTTCTCCGTGTTGCCCAGGCTGGTCTCAGGAACTCCTGAGCTCGGGCAATCCTCCTGCCTCAGCCTTCCAAAGTGCTGAGATTACAGGCGTGGGCCACCTCGCCCTGCCTACCCAAGCTATTTTTAAAAGTTTTTTGTAGAGAGGGGGTTTTACTTTGTTGCCCAGGCTGGTCTGGAACTCCTGGCCTCAAGCGACCTGCCTACCTTGGCGGCCCAAAGTGTTGGGATTTCAGGAGTGTAATCCCAGCCATCCTTTTCATGAGGGAGGCTTTGCCAGGCCCCTGGGACCAAAGGAAACCCAACCAGGGAAGTGGCTGGCCTGAGGTAGGGCAACCCTTCTGGGCAGCCCTTCCTCATCTGTTCACCCAGGAAACAAATGAGCCCTTCCTTGGTGTTCGGCACTAAAGATAAGGTGACATGGTCCCAGCTGGGGAGACAGGCTTTCCCTGGGAAGTGGAAACTGAAGGGATGCATTTGAGTTAATCTGGGGGAGCTGGGAGAGGAAGAGGAAGACAAACCAGGGACATTGAGGAAGGCAAAAGCTTTCAAGGGGGCATGAGCCTGGATGGTCTCGAGAACTGATGGGCATGGGAACAGTGGCCCTGGGAAGAATTTTGTACTTGATCCTAAAAGCAGCAGGAAGCCACTGAAGCTGGGGGATAATGTAATCTTTAGAGTCCTGCACTGAATCATTTTGCTTTGTTTTCTCATTTGGAAAAATGGATTTTGAATTCCACACCTGCTATATTAATTTTTTAAATTTTATTTTCAGAAATAGAAAATAAGGGAATGATGGACTATGTGTTTCTTCTCAGGGTTAAATATGCTAAAAGATGCAAATTGGCTAGCATTCTGTATGTGGTCTCTAAATGGTAATTCCCTTATCTTTCCTCTAAATTCCATTCCACAATTTCCACCATTCCAGAAGCATCGAAGGAGATCAATCCTCCCTACAGACTAAAGATAAATTTCATTTGAAGTATCTGGGTGGATGAAAAATTTGGTTCAGAAGATTAAAGGTAATTATTTTACAAGTTATTATTCAAATAGTATGCTCCCCATGATCACACAACATATTATTTGATTTATGGAATTGCAATTTACATTCGACTTTTTAGGAGCACATTTATTTATTTACTTAAAAAAAATTTGTTTTGAGACAGAGTCTTGCTCTTTCATCCAGGCTGGAGTGTAGTGGCGTGAGCATAGCTCATGCCGCTTCGATCTGCTGGGTTCAAGCAATCCTCCCACCTCAGCCTTCCTAGTAGCTGGGACCACAGGCATGCACTACCATGCCTGGCTGAGTTTTTATTTTTTATTTTTAGTAGAGACGAGGTCTCATTAAGTTGCCTGGGCTGATCTCAAACTCCTGGGCCTGAGCAATCCCCCCACCTCAGCCCTCCACAGAGTGCTAGGATTACAGGTGTGAGCCACCGAGCTGGCCTAGGAGCATATTTGTTGCAGAAAATGAGACCAAGTTTCACAAAGGCAGGGGCCATGTCTACGCTTTTCCTTACTGTAAGCTCACCACCTCGCTGTTAGATGGGTTTAGATACTGGAATATGTTTTCGGCTACACTGAGAGTCAGGGCCTCAGTTCTCTTTGTAATTGTTAACATGAATTTTGATGGCATGAAAATTCTTGTTCTCCGAATTATATTTAGCTCATACAAACTCTACTGCACAATTATGTTGTAAAGAGGAATTAAGTTTTATCTTTAAGTTGTTATTATAGCTTTGGGAAAAGGTGAACATTGAGAATAACTGCATGAAGTGATAGCATAGTGTATTGTTAATTAGGGTCACGTGGCAAAGGTGTGTCAGGCAGGGTCGGTATAAGAAACAGATGGCACATTCAAATAAGATCATTAGAAGAAGATTTAATAAATGGAGTATTTACAAGGTTTCAGCAGGGCCTGGGAAAGCTGTAAGGTCTAGTGCAGTACCCACAGGGCCTTTACCACTCTTAGAACTGAAGGTTGAGGGGAGGGAGAAATGACAGAACCCAGAAAGAGAGAGTTGTGTGGAGCAGGCTGCCTTGAGAAAGAGGGGTGACCTTTTATCAAAAGGCACAACGCACCTAAGGCGATCTGGCAGGAGGGAACTGGGGAAAGAAACACTTCACCCATGCTGTCCTCCCACCCTCCCATCTCCTGCTGCCGCTCCCATTGGCTGTACCGCCTGGAAGCTAGAGGGCAGGAGAGCGAGCTGCTGCAGTCCATGTAGGTCAACCCGCCAAGGCCAAGGGCAGCTCGGAGAAGGGTGGAAGAACCGATCTGGAGGGCAAATGGAAACTATCTGGTACAGGAGGCTTCATCTGCATGCTAGATAAAGACTTGATATTTAAATCCTGGTATCTTAGGGAGGCAGTGAAACCTTGAGGGATGGAACCATGGCAGCAGGTTCAGGGTTCTCATTTGTTCATTCCTCAGATCTCCTGAAGATACTAGAAAAAGTATTGTGCTGGGCATTTTAGAGAAGCCCAGCAATGGCAGAGGACTCTCAGAAATTCAATGAGTTTTCCTTCCTGATGTGTGTGTGTGTGTGTGTGTGTATACTTTTTTTTTTCTGATACATATATTTTTAGGAACACATTTCCAGTGGCTCACACCTGTAATCCCAGCACTTTGCGAGGCTGATGTGGGTAGATCACGAGGTCAGGAGATCAAGACCATCCTGGCCAACATGGTGAAATCCCATCTCTACTAAAAATATAAAAATTAGCCAGGCATGGTGATGCACACCTGTAATCCCAGCTACTCAGGGAGCTGAGGCAGGAGAATCGCTTGAACCTGGGAGGTGGAGGTTGCAGTGAGCCGAGATTGCGCCATTGTACTCCAGCCTGGGCGACAGAGCAAGACTCCGTCTCAAAAAAACAAAACAAAACAAAACAAAAAAACCCACCTCCTTCCTCTATCAACAGCACTTGTTTAGAGCTCTGAATAGTAAATACAATCCCACTGGTCTCAAAATGAGACACTGCTTCCCCAGAAGCAAGACAGCTCAGGCAAAGCACACAGGTTCTGGGTTTTGTTTTGTTTGTTTTTTTGAGACAGAGTCTCGCTCTGTCACCCAGGCTGGAGTGCAGTGGCTTGATCTTGGCTCACTGCAACCTCTACCTCTTAGGCTCAAGCAATTCTCGTGCCTCTGCCTCCCAAGCAGCTGGGATTACAGGTGTGTGCCACCACGCCCAAGTAATTTTTGTATTTTTAGTAGAGATGGGATTTCACCATGTTGGCCAGGCTGGTCTTGAACTTCTGACCTCACATGATCCACCCACCTTGGCGTCCCAAAGTGCTGGGATTACAGGCGTGAGCCACGACGTCTGGCCGCAGGTTCTGAATCTTACGGTCAGCAACTGACAGTCACGTTCCTCACCATATCAGTACCCTTTAGGTAGTAGCTGGATAGATATTTCTTCAGGCTTGGGGACTAGAATAGGATATGCCAGTGCAACTCTGGAAAGTGTGGACTTGCTCCTATGAATGGAGTGGATTGTGGTCTCACAGTTTCTGAATCTGTGAAACCATTCCACTCTTTAATGAGGTCCTCTTAGAAGAGGAGAGAATAGATCTCCTTTAGCGACATGGCTTTGACAAGCAAATCAATTCGTTCCATTTGTTTCCTCTTTGAAAACAGCAATCCTCGAGCGTTACATAATCTAATCTTCATGCCTCACTGGTTTGTTCTGTCCTCCTGAGGAATTGGCAGATGGTGCCAATGCGGAGACCCGCGCACACGCCTCGCAAGCCTCATGGAAACAGTAGACTTGCTCGCAGTGTCTGTCTCTTTGCTGTGGGGTCCCTCGCTGGCATTTGTTTCCCTGGATCTTTAGCATCCCTCAGGCACCGCTGGCTTCTTGCCCTCGGCTCTCATTCCAAGATTAATTGGAGATGCTGAAAGCAGATAAAAAGAGAACAGAAAGTGAAGTTGAAAGGGCAAAGAATTTGCTGGCTTTTTTTCCTAAAAGCCCTCCTCCATTAAAGGCTGAGCATCTTTGGAGGTTTTTAGCTCCAGAATGGTGACTCCCTCCTTCAGCCTGGTCCCTGTGTACATCTTTGTTGCTGGGTTACACACAGCACAGGGACAGGGCTGGCTGTGTCAGAGCTAGGAGAGTAGAGATCTGCTTGATAAGGTCTCTGGATTTCTCCAACAGCCAGTCACGTATCTGCAAAAATGATTGTTCCCCAGATAGGGCAGTTACCTGGAGTCCTCCTTCAGGTCGGTGATGTCACTTACGAAGGGAAAAAGATCTCAGAACTCTGTAAGGTGAGGAGCCTCCCAGCAAGGCCCTGTCAGCCAGAACCACAATGTTGAGATGCCCTCATACAGGCATTGCCCATACATCCTGCTTAACAATCTGGAAGTGGCAGCTTTTTAAAAAAGAGGAGTGTGGGCAGAATTCTAATATTTAGGACTGGAAAGCAGCCGATGTGCTCTGGTATTGCCTTTCCATTGTTAAAATATTGAAATACTTTTATACTACTGGGTAAAGAGTTACATCTTTGAATTCCCCACGCCTCCCATCCCTCTGCTAATACTTAAGTCTGTTGAGAAGGTCGGTCTTGTTATTTAGCTTCATGAGGAGCTCTACCTGTCTATGAGGCAACCGGAGCTTCCTTTGCTGAACCCACTTTGCTTTAACTGTGCGGTACCAGTAGGTCTGCTTGGTGCAGAGCCAGGCACCACTCCAAGTGCCACAGATGTAACCGCCCTGCTCACAGACTGCACTGTTGGCTGACTGGTTTTGGATGGAACCTCCAGGCAATTAAAACCTAGAACCCTCCTGCCCATGGCAAAAACATCCCTGGTCCTTAAAGGTCACATACACCTTTATGCTTGCTGGTTACCCAGGATCCAGGTGTATTTACACGTGACAGAAATGACCCATCTGAAGGAAAACAGCAGCCCATGCAGCACCTTCTTTTAAGGCCACCCTCCCCCCTCCACTGAGTCCAGGCATAGAGGACTAATTTCTATAAAAGCAATAATGGGCCGGGTGCGGTGGCTCACCCCTGCCATCCCAGCACTTTGGGAGGCCTAGGTGGGTGGATCACCTGAGGTCAGGAGTTCGAGACCAGCCTGGCCAACCTGGCAAAAGCCCATCTCTACTAAATACAAAAATTAGCTGGGTGTGGTGGCGCCTGCCTATAATCCCAGGTACTTGGGAGGCTGAGGCAGGAGAATTGCTTGAAGCCAGGAGGCAGAGGTTGCAGTGAGCCGAGATTGTACCACTGCACTCCAGCTTGGGCGACAGAGCAAGACTCCATCTCAAAAAAAAAAAAAAAAAAAAAATCAGCAATAATGGTTTTCTTTTTAAAAATTTGTTACTCATTCACTAAATAATATTGGGTGAGCACCTATTATGCTGTTATGTTTTGGTCACTGTGCTGAGTGCAGACAAGCTGAGAGCTTGTTTCTGCTTTCATGGAATGTACAGTTTAGTGGGATGTGGGGAGACAGACCGTAAAGGACGGCACGGTGGCTGGAATGCGGTGAGGTCATCTGAATGTGGGTTGCATTTCATCTCATGGAAACTGCATAGATGTCATGGGTGACTTCTGGTGTGCTGTCAATTTATCGGATGTATCTACCCTGCTAGAGCACTGGGGTGCATGGCACCAGTATTAAAAATGGGAAGCATAGTGGGTGATTACTTCCTGTATCCAGCGACAATCTCAGAGAGGTGGGGAACTGCTCTGGATTAGGCAAAGAATGGCGGGAATATTCTGAATGAGAAATGATGGATACAGTAGGTTCTAACATTTGGAGATCAGGTGTGCTATTTATTTGTTTATTTATGACAGAGTCTCACTCTGTTGCCCAGGCTGGTGTGCACTGGCAGGATCTCAGCTCACTGCAATCTCTGCTTCCCAGGTTCAAGCAATTCTCATGCCTCAGGCTCTGGAGAAGCTGAGATTACAGGTACCTGCCACCATGCCTAGCTAATTTTTGTATTTTCGGTAGACATGGGGTTTCACCATGTTGGCCAGGCTGGTCTCAAGCTTCTGACCTCAAATGATCCACCCATGGTGCTAGGTACAGGCATGAGCCACTGTGCCTGGCCAAGTGTTCTGTCTTTTTTTTTTTTTTTTTGAGACTGAGTTTCACTCTTGTTGCCCAGGCTGGAGTGCAATGGCACAATCTTGGCTCTCCACAACCTCTGCCTCCCAGGTTCAGGTAATTCTTCTGCCTCAGCCTTCCAAGTAGCTGGGACTACAGGCATCCACCACTGTGCCCAGCTAACTTTGTATTTTTAGTAGAGATGGGGTTTCTCCATGTTGGCCAGGCTGGTCTCGAACTCCTGACCTCAGGTGATCCACCCGGCTCAGCCTCCCAAGGTGCTGGGATTACAGGTGTGAGCCACTGTGCCCGGCCCCAAGTGTGCTGTTTTTAAAAGATGGTAACATCTGTAAGTGATAGGATTTCCTTCATCGATGCTCATTCCCTTCTTTGCCTCAGTAACCAAGTGAATTCAGTCACCAAAATCATAATTCATGTCCCTATGATGGTCCAGTGGACCGTTGTACTTGTCAGTATTAATTATTTTTGCTCTGTCTGTCCTGATGGTTTGATCTTTCTTTTTATTGAATTATTATCTATATGCAGTGAGATGTACATTCTTAAGTGTATAGTTCAGTTTTGACCCAGTCTTTTTATTTTTTTGAGACTGAATCTTGCTTTATTACTACCCAGGCTGGAGTGCAATGGCACAGTTTCCACTCACTGCAACCTCTGCCTCCTGGGTTCAAGTGGTTCTCCTGACTCACCCTCCCAAGTAGCTGGAACTACAGGCATGTGCCACTACAGCTGGCTAATTTTTGTATGTTTAGTAGAGCCGGGGTTTCAGCATGTTGGCCAGGCTGGTCTTGAACTCCTGGCCTCAAGTGATCCCCTTGCCTTGGCCTCTCAAAGTGCTGGGATTACAGGGATGAGCCACTGTGTCCAGCCCCAGCCATATATTTTTGTAACCATACCCCTTTTCACTTTTATTTTTAAAACCTTGGAGGCCGGGTGCAGTGGCCCACACCTGTAATTCCAGCACTTAGGGAGGCCAAGGTAGGAGGATTGCTTGAGCTGAGGAGTTTGAGACCAATCTGGGCAACTGAGTGAGACTTCATCTCTAATACAAGTAAAAAAAAATAGGTGGGCATGGTGGCATGCGCCTGTCATTCTCCCACCTCAGCCACCCAGCTGTTTGGGAGGCTGAGGTGGGAGAATTGCTCGAGCCTGGGAGATCAAGTCTCCAGTGAGCTATGCTGGCACCACTGCACTCCAGCCTGGGCCACTGAGCGAGACCCTGTCAAAATCTTGGCATCTTCTCAAATGATGAATATTTGGGTCCAAGGGCAGATTACTGGGGAAGCATCCTCTATGTAGTCCACTGACCGTTTCCCCCACCCTCCAAATTCTCATCCAATCCTTTCCTGAGTTTCCCAATCACACGGAAGACTTAAAACCTTAAGAACATTTTGTAATCCCGGCTTTCTGAAACCTAACAGAGATTTTGTCATCTGAAAACAAGGGAGATTAAGTGCAGAATTTGATTCTGACAATAGCAAAAAGGAACAAGCTAGACAAGGAATGTCACATGGAATTAATTCAAGCACCACCGTGTAAAATGCTCCACAACCTTTTCAAGACTCTAAACTGACATACAGTCTTGGTGAGGAAACAACAAATTTTAAAGGCATTTGCTACAGGGACATAGCGTCATCAGACTAGATCAGTTAAATGAGAGATCCATGTACCTGTTAGGAGTTTTGCTTTTAACCCTGCCTTACTCTTTCTGGATGGATTCTCTTAGAAATGAGGCACAAAGACAGCTAAACACACTGTTCTCTCCACACTGATGGGTCCTCCCAGACCCACTTTTTCTATTTAACTACGCTTGTGTACTGAGATGTCTTTCCAGTGCTGCAAAACACTCTTTTTCTGCCTAATTTTCACCAATGGTTATACAGTCAAATAATATAACAACATGTAGTTATTTAATAATTACAATTTGTGTAGCACCTAAAGGCAAATGAGAGGCTTTATGTGAAAGTGCTTTTTTTTTTTTTTTTTTTTTTTTGAGATGGAGTTTTGCTCAGACATGATCTCAGCTCACTGCAACCTCCACCTCCTAGATTGAAGCGATTTTCCTGCCTCAGCCTCCTGAGTAGCTGGGATTACAGGCACCCGCCACCATGCCTGGCTAACTTTTGTGTTTTTAGTAGAGACAGGGTTTCACCATGGTGGCCAGGCTGGTCTCAAACTCCTGACCTCAGGTATCCTCCCACCTTTGCATCCCAAAGTGCTGGGATTATAGGCTCAAGCCACCATGCCCAGCTGTGACAGTGCTTCTAGAGCTGCAAAGGTACATACAATCCAAAAATATTCTTTTAAAATTGTTTTTACATGGCAGGATACTTTGAAGCAACTGCATTTCCACTGCATCTCACAATCAGTGAGGCAAGCCATTCTCATTTTCACATCCAGAATTTTCCATGTCTTAATGATGATATTTCTGGAATATTCCTGGATCTGACCCAGCCTCTGAAATTAGTCTTCATGACCTCCCCCCCAGACTTAAAATCCATGAAGAAAGGTATGACATTCACTTATTTACTATTCTATTCCTGAGGCCTAGCCCTTGGTGGGCACTCAGTAATGTCTGTTAACTGAGCTAACCTCATTGATCTTGCCTTTAGTCTCCTCCCAGCCCGCCTGACAATGTATGTTTTGCATTGCATTTTTGAAGCATCATTTCAAAAACACAGTTCTGGGCCGGGCGCAGTGGCTCATGCCTGTAATTCCAGTACTTTGGGAGACTGAGGCGGGCAGATCACTTGAGGTCAGGAGTTTGAGACCAGCCTGGCCACCATGGTGAAACCCTTTCTCTACTAAAAATACAAAAAAATTAGCCAGGTGTGGTAGTGGGTGCCTATAATCCCAGCTACTGGAGAGAGTGAGGCAGGAGAATCGCTTGAACCCAGGAGGCAGAGGTTGCAGTGAGCCAAGATTGTACCACTGCATTGCAGTTCAGGTGACAGAGCAAGACTTCATCTCGAAACACACACACACACACACACACACACACACACACACACACACACAATTCTGCTTGCATTTCTTATTGCATTTTGATGCATCACTTCAAAAACACAGTTCTGCTTCCATCCTAGACAAACTCACAAAACCTTCAAGGATTCTCCATTGCCAATAAAATAAAGTATAAACTGCTGAATGTCACACTCAAGATCTTTCATGATATAGTCCACCTTTTCAGGCCCATTTCTCAGCCCTCATTCTCCCTCCCTGCTCAGTCGTCAAATGATTCCTACACACAGCATGCAGGTTCACACTCCCAACCCTGACTTAATCTGTTCCCCCTGCCTGGCATGACCTTCCTTTGGCCCTCCTGATTCATCTGGTGGAATTTCACTTATTCCTCAAAAAGCAGCTCAAATGTCACATGCTCTAATGCTTTCTCTAACTCCCCTTAGGATTCTCCCATATAACTTAGCTCATAATCCCCTTATTGCACGTTTCCCATTAGTTTAGTTGGTTTTCTCCCCTGACCTCTTGCCCTTTTTTTTTTTTTTTGAGATAGGGTCTGGCTCTTTTGCCCAGGCTGGAGTGCAGTGGTGCGATCTTGGCTCACTGCAACCTCTGCCTCCAGGGCCCAAGCCATCTTCCCACCGCAGTTTCCCAAGTAGCTGGGCCTGCAGGTTCATGCTAGCAAGCCCTGCTAATTTTTGTATATATTTCTTTGGTAGTGTGTAAACTCAAAGGGGTTGCACCATGTTACCTAGGCTAGTCTTCAACTCTTGGCATCAGGCAATCCTTCTGCCTTGGGCTCCCCAAGTGCTGGGGTTACAGACATGAGCCATTGTGTGTGGCCACAATAATGCCTTAATAATGTCACCCCACTGCCGTAATATGCCAGCAGTGGCTTCCCTTCACACTTAGAGGAAACCCAAAGCCGTGATTGACTTTTTGGCCCCTGCCTTCCTCTCCAGTTTCATCTCTCCTACTCTCCCCTCACTCACTCCAGCCTCCTTTTTCTCTGCTTCTCCTGGAACATGCCAAGCTATTCCCTCCTCAGGACTTTTTGAACAGCTTCCCCTCTGCCAGGAAAGCTCTTCTCCCAGATATATACACGACTCGATCCTTTACTTCATTTTAGTTTCTGCTCAGATGTTCCCTCTGCAGAGAGGCCTTCTCTAATCACTGTCTAAAGGAGCATCCTCAGCTGGGCACAGTGGCTCATGCCTGTAATCCCAACATTTTAGGAGGCCGAGGTGGGAGGATTGCTTGAGGTCAGGAGTTCAAGACCAACCTGGCCAACATAGTGGACCCTGCCTCTGTGTAAAAATAAATAAATACAGTAGCATCCCCCATTAAGCCCTAATCTCTTACCTGCTTGATTTCTCCTTATGGCAACTTTCTTGAGCACCAGTTTGTCACCATTACTTTTCCATGCATTTATTTATTTGTTTATTTGGTGCTGAGGATAGAGACCATTTTGTTGGCAACCATATCCCTGGCACCTAGAACAGTGCCTGACAGATAACAGGCCCTCAATTATTTGTTGAATGACTGGATCAATCTTTGTATCCAAGATGCATAATGCAGTGCCTGGTTGTTTACATAGTTGTTAAATAAGTGACCAAATTAATACCTTTCACAAGTGGAATGGAATCCTGGTGCGCATCCAGGATTATCTGGGATATGAGCGCAGGCGTTTCATCCATTTGCTTCATGCCATCATTTTCATTTATTTACTCTAGTAATCACTGGTAACACACTCAGATTCTTCAGTTTTTCAGAAACTAGTCGGTGACCGAGGTCTTGCCCAAAAATATCTAGGCATTTCAGAAAGGTTACCAAGAGTGGCACAGCAGGGATTTAGAATACCTGGCAGTCCTTTGCCTCTCATCTGCTCCTGAGGGATTCTGATAAAGTTCTTTATCTCCTGTCATTTATATTGAATGTGCCTTTGTTTTTAATCCTGCCAAACACTGATTATTCTGAGGGCTGGAATAGGTAAGACATTGACTGACCTCAAACTCAAAGGGTGGACTCATTACATCCTGCAAATCCCAGCATACCCTGCAATGAGCCTTCAGGGCTGCAGTGCCCCGGCCTGCTTCAGGATTTGGGCTTTAGGAACCTGAGTGGCTTTGATATGGCAATTCAGTCTCTTAACGGTAGCTGATCTGGGGAAAGCTTTGCCACACTTTCCTAGTTCACTTTAGCCTCTGGGTAGTTGCTTTCCCAGCCCATCCCATTTTCCTTAATTCCTTTCCTATGGCTAAGTAAAAGAAGCAGTGCAGAAAAGGATGAACCCCTGGCATGAGGGAAGTATAATATTGGCAATCTGTTTCTGTATCCTTCTTCTTTTTTTCTTTTTTTTTTTTGCCATAGGGTCTCATTGTGTCTCCCAGTGCTCAGGCTGGAGTGCAGTGACCCAATCTTGGCTCACTACAACTTCTACTTCCCGGGTTCAAGTGATTCTCGTACCTCCGAGTAGCTGGGATTACAGGCGCCTGCGACCATGCCTGGCTAATTTTTGTATTTTTAGTAGAGATAGGGTTTCACCAAGTTGGCCAGGCTGGTCTCAAACTCTGGACCTCAAGTGATTCGCTGGTCTCGGCCTTCCAAAGTGTTGGGATTACAGGCATCAGCCACTGCGCCTGGCCTTGTGTATCCTTTTAATGAGGCTGAGCAGTGACCAGACTGTGGATGGCACTGGGTCCAGGGACCAGAACAGGGAGAGCCTGGGAGAACCCCTCCAGTCCCCTGCAAATCTTAAACACCAGATACTAAAGCAGAGTGGTAGATGGGGCCTCATGAGGCATAGAGGGAAGGGAACTGACTTAACTGGATTGTGCCCTGTCCAAGCACTGGGCGGCCTTTTGTGTACGTGGTATCATCTGCCGTTACCAAGAAATTAGTTATGCTTCTCATCTGCATTTTATAGACGAAGAGAACAAGGCTCAGAGAGGTTGATGACACCTGCCCAAGTTACCCAGATGGTAGGTGGCAGAGCTGGCATTTGAGATTCAGCTCAGACCTGGGAGGCTCCCTGGCTACGCACCAAGTGCAGGAATTTCTCTAGCATTTAGTAAGGCATGAAGGTGAAAGAGGGGACAAGGGCTGGAGGGGCAGCAAATGGGTCCTACCTGAGACTTGACCATCATCAGGTGCTGTCCAGACCTGGCTTCTCTTCTATTTTGAGAACTGATATCCTGCGGCTGACTTACCAGTGTCATCCTAGTACCCCGCATGGTACTGGGGGTGGAGGCAGCCCCCCACGGAGTGGATGAAGCCTTTCCTCCCGGCAGTGTCCTGCATAGCGTTCTGGCCCCTGCATTTGTAGGCAGTGGTGTCATAGAGTGCCTTCATGCTCTTCGGGTCTCCAGTTCTCCCTGGACCTCTCTGGTCCTCATTGCCAAAGTTGTACACCCTGGAGAGTGCACCCTGCCCGCATTTCTGGAGGCTCGGGCGGTTCCGGGGCTCGGCAGGAGCCTCCTCGCAGCGTGATAAAGAGCGCTGCCGGAGCTCCCGGGGTCTCGGCCTCTTTGGGGCCCGTTGCCAAGCCCCTTCCCTCCTTGCGTTCCTGCTCCACGCTGCTGCTGCGTCCCCTTCACCACCAGGGGCCGCCTGGAAGCGGGGCTCCCCCGGGGTGGGGCGGGGCAAGGGGCGGGGCGCGGCGGTACCTGGGCCGCCAGGGAGCTGGGGGTGGGCTCTCCGGGGACAGCCGGCAGCGCCCCCAGATCTGCACCGCCAGCCGCCGGGAGCTCCGGGCTCCGGGCGTAGAGGCTGCGCTGTCACATGGGCGGCGGCGACGGGGCCGCATTTAAGCGGCCGGGGGACGGCGCCCGCCTCCAGCACGTCCTCGGGCTCGGCTCCCGCCGGGCGCCCCGTTCTCTGCCCGCCGGGGGTCCCGCGCCGCGCCGCACTGCGCCGCCCCCGCCGGGCCATGCGAGCGCGGGCCCCGCCGTGATGAGCTCGCACATCGCCAAAAGCGAGTCCAAGACGTCGCTGCTGAAGGCGGCAGCGGCGGCGAGCGGGGGCAGCCGGGCTCCACGCCACGGCCCTGCCCGGGACCCGGGGCTGCCCAGCCGCCGGCTGCCCGGCTCCTGCCCGGGGACGCCGCAGTCGTCTGGGGACCCCAGTTCGCGGAGGCCCCTGTGCCGGCCGGCGCCACGAGAGGAGGGCGCACGGGGGAGCCAGCGTGGGCTCCCCCAGGCGCACTGCAGGCCCCGGGAGGCGCTGCTGGCTGCGGCGTCCCGACCTTCGCCGTCGTCGCCGCTGCCTCTGGCCCGCGGGCGGGATGGGGAGGAACGGGGACTGTCCCCGGCGCTCGGCCTCCGGGGCTCTTTGCGAGCCCCGGGCCGCGGGGACTCCGTTCCAGCCGCTGCGTCCGAGGCGGACCCGTTCCTCCACCGGCTGCACCCCATGCTCAGCTCCGCCTTCGGCCAGGTAAGGGCCGCGCCTCCCGCCAGCGCTCCGGGGAAAGGCGCTCAGGACCCTGCCGGCCGTGGCTGCGCGTCCACAGCCTCCTCCCGCGGCCCGTGGCCCCCACGGGTCACACCTCGGCTCACCTCTTCCTCCCGGGGCCAGTGCCCTTGCCGGCACTCCTCCTATGCCTGGTTCAGCACCCCGTGCGCTGTCCACGCTCCGGGCCTCTTGGGGCGAGGCGTCCCCGCCTAGCTTCTCTCACAACTGCCGGAACCCACCAATCCTGGAAGGGAGCGACCTCTACGACCCTCCTGGAGATTCGCGGGGATCGAGGAGGGGTGCTCCGAGCAGGTGGCGCCAAACCCACTCCTCTGGCTTCTGGCCAGTACCGTCAGGGTGCGACTCAGGAGAGCAAGCGGTTTGGAGTATAGGGGTCAAGAGAGAGGACTGCAGAGAACACAGAATTACTTAGGGTGAGGGACGCTAGCCACTGCCTATCCTGTCCCTGAAGGCCTGGGAAAAGTTAAGAGATTCAAAAATAGGAGGAAAGAGAAGCGGTGTCTGGGTAGGCATGGAGGGGTTGTGGTTCACACTGAAACTTTGGAGTGGTTTAAGGAAGCTGTCACTCCAGGGATGCCATTGGAAGGGTCAGAAAGGCCACGGAGAGGTCATCAGTCGTTCCCCCAGGGCTCTCCCTCAAGAGTCCCAGGCACCTGGACACCTGCCCTTTAAAAGCTACTCCATAGTCACAATCCAAGTCTACAGCTTGGGGCTGTGCTGCTGGGGAGACAGGTTCGGCAGAAAGGAGGAAAGCCAGGCTTTCCCCTAGTTCAGAGTCTGTAATCAAGTCAAACTCATTGGCACAGCTTTGAGACAGTTCTGTGGCAGCCGCGGAGAGGTGTCATGCAGAGGTCTGATTACAGTGTTTGCGTGGTTTGTAGGGAAACGGGGGCCTGCGCCTTTCTGTGCTAAGATCTAGCATAAAGAAGCCGTTTCGAGCTCCTGGCTTGCCACACTGAATCGGGATTCCAAGGAGGCCCTGTGTGTTTTGCTTCAGATCTGCACATCTCTTTTCAAAATACTACTCCGCAGTGGCTGTTGCTGGTGGAGGTCTGACATGAAGGCAGCCACACATTGATTTGGGTTGTGCGGGGCTGCTGTGGTGGGGCCATAGGGCAGCGGTGTGTGGCTTTGTTCCTGCAGGGAGCCCTCGTTAGCCAAGTTAGCTGGAAATAGTTCTCTGGATGCAGAGCTGTGAGAGTTAGTGAGGCTATGTGTCAGGGGAGTTCATTGCAGTGGTTTGGTGTTAGTGAGGAGACACCAGTGTCAGCGCACCAGTGGTCAGGGCTGGGAACACAGCAGTAGGAACGCTGTGTTGTTGAATGGGTGATACCAATTCATTCATTTCTCAAATATTTCTTGAGCACTTATTAAGGACACCTTCAGGGGGTTCTTTAGTTCCTGTGGTTGGTTTGTTCAGACATTTGCGGACACCAGGAAGACAACAGTGAACCAGATAGCCAGGGCCCTGGCTGTGCCTAGCAGTTTGGAAGGGTAGGTCATTGGCCTAGAAGCATACACTTTCTGGTTACTCAGTTTGCTGCTGATCTGACTCAGCTCCTAAAAAAAAAAGAAGAAGAAAAAAGAGCCCTTTCTTTCCTGTCTTGCAGAATTTGCCTACATGAGCCCTTTCTGAGCTCTGAGCATTGCAGCTACATGCTTTTGTTTCTCCTCATTTCTCAGACATTAAATGAATTCTGCAGCCCAGTGTTCTGAAATGTCACCAGGGTCACCCAAGTCAGGAGGAGCTGGAAGTTCCCATCAAATATTTACTACCTCCCTCTGGAAACTCTTGCTTCTCAGAGCTGCGGGCTTTTACTTTAAAGCCCAGAATATTCCGTTTGGGCTCCCATCTGACACCACTAAGTCATCTACATGAGCAACAAGAACAACAAACCCAGGCTGGGACTTTTGTGACAGAGCTTCCAGTCTCCCGTGACAGAGAGGAATTCATCTTTTCTTTTTTCTCCATATTGAGATTTCTGTCCTCAGAGACAGGGTCAGAACCAAGAGAAGGCAGATGGGGTTCTGAATAGAGAAACTTTTAGTTAAGATCTGCTTAGGACAAAATATAGCCCTGGGGAAAGTATGTTTTTCATGTCTCCCCAAGTTCCATTTGTTTTTAATCGAATTGTTTAACCTCATTAAGTCTATTTCTCTTTTAAAAAATATTTTTCATAATAGAGACAGGGTCTCACTATGCTGTCCGGGCAGTCTGGAACTCCTGGGCTCAAGTGATCCACCTGCCTCAGCCTCCCAAAGTGCTGAGATGACAGGCATTAGCCACCATGCCTGGCCAAGTTCTGTTTCTTCACCTGCAATATAGGGATCATCAGGACATTTGGGAGATTAAATGAGATACGGAGAGATAGAGTTTGGCCCAGGTCTGGCACACAGCCCGTCCTAACTATCAGTGTTAGTTATTCTTCTTGTTGTGGTTATTGTTGATTAACTACCAAGGTCTTTTTTCTTCTTCATTTGTGAGAGGGTCTCAGAGAGCCAGGGTTCAGACTGACTCTGAAAGCACCAAGATGAATTCTTACCTTAAAGGAAACAGGGATGAAGATTCTCCCGTGACCTCACAGAGCAACCTTATTGCATATGCATGGAGGCCACACAGTTTTGAGGCCGAGGCGTAGAATGGAGGCTTGGGAAGATAGCAGAGATGCAAGTTCCAATCCTGGCTCTGTCATTTTCAATCTCTGTGACCTTGGGCATGTTATTTTCTCTCTCTGGTCTTGGTTTCTTCATCCAGAAAGGAGATTGACAAAAACTGCTTTGCAGTTATTACGAGGCTTACACAAGATTAAGGATATCAAATGCCTGGCTCATAGTGGGTGCTGAATAAAGGGCAGCCTTCATTAATGTTATTGCTGTTATTAATAGAGTAATTGAATGAGGGCATGTGTAAGGTACTTTGAAAGCTGACTCTGAGCCAGGTGAGGACAGCTATTAAGGGAAGGAGCTGAATGTCAAAGGCTCTTCCCTACTCCCTCTTTGTGGCCAGGTAAGGACATTCCACCCAGCTGCCTAGAGAAGACATGATGTCAGAAATTAACAGTAGAGGAATGATGACACGGAGCTTTGCGTATTAGAAGACTATTTTAAGAAACAGTCTTTCTGCTCTTTACCCTGAGCTTGAGAAGAAACATGCCTTGTGCAGAAGGCAAATGTGGATAAAACCCACAGCTCTGTCCCATCCTTCCCATTTTTCCAGCTGTGGAAACATGTCTTCCAACACGGAAAGGGTATTCCCGTTCCCATACTGCTCTGCACATGGCAGGATCACAGTATTTAATGAAGGAGTGAATGAATGAATGGTGTCACCCAGCCTCTGGACTTAGGGGTTTCCTTAGTTCCTGTGGTTTGTTTGTTCGTTTGTTGTTTGTTTGTTTTGAGGCAGAGTCTCCCTCTGTCACCCAGGCTGGAGTGTCTGGAACTCCCGGGCAGTCTGGAACTCCTGGGCTCAAGTGATCCACCTCACTCAAGTGAGTGTAGTGGCATGATCTCAGCTCACTCCAACCTCCGCCTTCAAGATTCAAGCCATCCGCATGCCTCAACCTCTCACATAGCTGGAATTAGAGGTGTCCACCACCACACCCAGCTAATTTTAGTAGAGATGGGGTTTCACTTGTTGGCCAGGCTGGTCTTGAACTCCTGACCTCAAGTGATCTGCCCACCTCAGCCTCCCAAAGCACTGGGGTTACAGACATGAGCTACCATGCCTGGCCAGTTCCTGTGGTTTAGATGGAGAGAGTCCAGGGTGGTTTGGGTCATGGATTTAATTGCACTAAGTCTATGTTCGCAGGATAGGGCTGTGTCTATTCGTCACTCTTGCTCCAGTCAAGTGTCTCCTTCCTTCCCTCTGAGAGGGCCTGGGGCCCCTATTGCTTTTCTCTGGGGCCTGGGGAGAGGGAAAGTGAAGGTCAGCTTGTGGTTAATATCAGTCACAGGTGATAGGAATGGCTTGGAGTCACTTCAGTGAGAGTCCTGCAGGAGGTCGGCCTTTGCCTCCAGCTGTTTTTGAGAGACAACAATGAGCACTTGAGCCCACTGCACAGTGGACAAAGTGTCTTCTCCTTACCTTCACAGCATCTTCACCCCACACCCTGCAATTTTAGAAATAAGGAAAGCTTGGCCAGGCGCAGTGGCTCATGTCTATAATCCCAGCATTTTGGGAGGCCAAGGCGGGTGGATCACTTGAGATCAGGAGTTTGAGACCACCCTGGCCAACATAGTGAGACCTGTCTCTACTAAAAATACAAAATTTAGCTGGATGTGGTGGCAGGCACTCAGCTACTTGGGAGGCTGAGGCACAAGAATTGCTTGAACCAAGGAGGTGGAGGTTGCAGTGAGCTGAGATTGTGCCACTGCATTCCAGTCTGGATGACAGTGAGACTCTGTCTGAAAAAAAAAAAAAAAGAAAAGAAATAAGCAAGCCTTAAGAGAGAGGAAGTGACTTCTCCAAAGGTCACATAGTAAGTACATGGCAGGGCTGGGTATAGTGTCCTACACCCGTAATCTGAGCACTTTGTGAGGCCAAGTTAGGAGGATCGCTTCAGCCCAGGAGTTTGAGGCCGCAGTGAACTATGATTGCACCACTGTACTCCAGTCTGAGTGACAGAGTGAGACCCTGTCTCTAAAAATAAGTAAATAAGTAGGTGACAGGACTGTGCTGAGAATTGTGGTCTGCCTGTCTCCAAAAATACCTGCCTGTTCTGTATGTGCTGTGCTGCTTTGGTGGGAAGTCACGTAAGTGTGTTTCCTGCTCATCAGAAGCATCTGCAAAGCACCTCTCATGTTACAGTCCTGCTTTCCCTGCACGTCTTAGCACCGGTCTGTCATCCAGGTTCAAATGCTGGTGATAGAACTGACCACGGCCAAAGGCCAGTCTCCCTCCTAATCAGGAATAATCAGCAATGAGTTTATCCTTCTCATCCTTCTGATCCTATTATTCCATTCCAGCACTTAAAGTAGGAGTTCTGGAGGCTCACGGGTGCTGCCACAGTGGATAGAGATGGGAGGTGGGGGCATGCTTCACTCCTTACAGGAAGCCTCCACTGTTTAGCGTTTTTTGTTTGTTTGTTTGTTTTTTGCTTTTTTTTTTTTTTTTTTTTTTTTTTTAAGAGACAAGGTCTTGCTCCGTTATCCAGGCTGGAGTGCAGGGTGCAATCATAGCTCACTGCAGCCTTGAACTCCTGGGCTCAAGTGATCCTCCTGCCCCAGCTTCCTGAGTATCTATGACTAGAGGCACAGCTGCCACACCTGGCTAATTTAAAAATTTTTAATAGAGATGGGGTCTTGCTATGTTGCCCAGGCTGGTCTTGAACTCCTGACCTCAAATGATCGTCCCACCTCAGCCTCTTGAAGTTCTGGGATTATAGGCATAAGCCACCATACCCAGCTGTTCAACCCTTTTAAAATTTCCTGCTGAGGGCCGAGCCATCTGTCCCTCCTGCCTACCTGCCCAGCTCAAGTTAGCTTAAGCAAGCTTTTAAGCACATCGAAATCCCTGGATCTCTTGCTATCCTTAAACCTCAAGCTAGTATCAGTTCCTACACCTGCCCCCAAAGCAGGATGGGATTTCTTCAAAGTGTATGATTTTTCCATAGGGTCCTGGTTTTGCCAGCTGCTGTCTCCTGTTTCCAAGGACAGAGGCATATCCCAAGGTCGACAAGTGGGTGCTATGCCTGGACTGGCCTACAGGGGGCAGGAGCCACCAGATTCGACTGAGTGGATGCCCTGCTGAACAAATGGATGGCACACTTGGCTCTTTAAGACCAATACTGGGCAGGAAAAGAGGGCGCGTTCTAGAGGCTTGGCACAGTGCCAAGCCCTTTGCATGTATTATCTCATTAGCTCCTCACAAAAGCCCTGTGGGAGGTGCTATTAGACTCCCTATTTTATAAATGAAGAAACTGAAGCAGATAAAGATTAACATATCCTCTAGGTCACATGGTTACTAAGCCGCAGATAAGATTTTTCTTTTTTTTTTTTTAAATAGAGACGGGGTCTCACTATGTTGTCCAGGCTGCTCTCGAACTCCTGGGTTCAATGATCCTACTGCCTTGGCCTCCAAGGATTACAGGTGTGAGCCACTGTGCCCGGCCCAGGGCATGATTTGAACCCAAGGCAGCATGACTCTGCTGTCCAAGCTGTTTTTTTTTTTTTTTTTAGACAAAGTCTTGCTCTGTTGCTCAGGCTGGAGTGCAATGGCGCAATCTTGGCTCACTGCAACCTCCGCCTCCCAGGCTCAAGGGATTTTCCTGCTTCAGCCTCCCAAGTAGCTCGTACTGCAGACACCCACCACCACGCTTGGCTAATTTTTGTATTTTTTGTAGTAAGAGATGGGGTTTCACAATGTTGGCCAGGCTGGCCTCCAACTCCTGACCTCAGATGATCCCCCCCCCACCTCAGCCTCTCAAAGTGTTGGGATTACAGGTGTGAGCCACTGCACCTGGCCCCAAGCTCTTAACCTCTACATCAGTGGTTCCCAATGCTGGCTGCAGGTTAGAATTACCTGGAGTACTAAGCAAGCCCGACGTCCAGTGCCCATCGAAGATAGAATTAAGTCAGAATTCCTGGGGAAGCTCTCCAGTTGTGCCAGTCTACAGCCAGCATTGAGAATCTCTGCTCTATACTGTGCTGTTTTGGCCTTTACATATATCCACCCATTCACACCTGGACCTTAACCTGAGATTCCCTCTGGGGTCCCTAATGAGCATTGTTGTTTCAAAGGACCCTATATGGTCTATTTTCTAGATTTTGCCTACAGGTCTCTCC